CAGCAGAGCGACATCCACGACTTACCCGCTTTTTTTAATATAAATTTTATTATGTCTACACAACTTAATACAATCGTTTTCCACATTTTTGATAAGATAAAATGCATTACAAAACATTCAATTTTGTTATACTTTTAACTAAATAAATTATTTTAATAGTAATTTAGATAATTATTCAGTATTTACTATTTAATAATTAACTAATTCACAATACGAACAACATAGTATTATTAGTATTGATATATTATGGGCTACACGGCWAAACCTCGTTAGTTACTTTTATCAAATTATAAAATAATAATAATAATAATACGTACCTATTATGATATTATCATTATGATATCAAATGTACAGTGTATTCCATAGGCATAAATAGGGGGGCTTAGGGGTATTAGCACTCTCAAATAATGATCGTGATTGGATCAAAAATTTCTTTCAAAAAAAAAAAAAAAAAAACAAATTTCATAGCATAACCTACCCTAAGTTTTTTTTATTGAAATTGCGCCTATGGTGCATCCATCAAAAGAAACACTTATCGACATACAAACTAATTATAATTATTGCCTTGGTTATTTTTATCATAAGAACAATGGAAAAAGTGCAATAAAAAGTCGTGTGTCGAAGAATTTCGAACGCTGGGCAACAATCATAAAAGTTAGCAAAGTTACCACTGCGCAACAGCTCAATATGAATAAGTTTTAGCATTATAGATATTTAAGAGTTATCATATAAAGTTGAAACTTCAAAATCGASGGGTAAGCCACTATGCTAATCAGAGTACAATATTTTGATAATCATGATAATCTTGTGATAATCATAATAGGTAATCTTTGTGAACCATAATTAAATTTCAACTAAATTATAAGAATTTTACTATTATGTTAGCGCTTGGACTTTATKTTATGAACCATAGTGATAGCAGTAAGTTATGTATTCTGTTCCAAAAGAGAATAATCACATTTTCTGACTGATTTTCATCGGCACTGCGCATCTCCCGCCAACAACTAAAGCAGCCGCAGGCCACCGCGCGTAATATCCCGCCTTTAATATTGGCCTAGGCACTTCCGTAGTCGTCAGTCGTATGCGCGAAAATGATTATATTATTAATTTCTTTTGGAACAAACAACAGTGTACATAATACTATCCGAGTTACTATAATATTATTTATGTATTCAAAAATCAATGGTAGATCAATTCCTCGAACAATTCAATGTGTAATTGTTTATGAAGTTTGTTTTGTGGCAAGTTTCCATTGGTTCTGTAATAAATGGTAAGTACCTTATAATATCTTAAAAAAACTTATTTATTTAAAAAACTATTATCCTAGCTATTATCATACAATATGTTTTGAATTTCAAGATTTTTTAATGCTGATATAATATATACATATTTAATAAAGCCACAAAAAACGAACGTTATCACCCAAGTTATCATTTTTATCTATTAAGTTAATTAACCCACATCAAATTATTTTAAATTTAAACCAAAATTAAACATTTACGTTTATTTGTTCAGTTGTTCTATACATTTTAATGTAGGTAGTTGTTTTTTTGGTAGCTATTTTGTTATTTATTTTCTATAATACAAAACAGTTATGATAACCTGAATTATACTTGGCCACTTGGGTGTATAAAATAGTTTGTAAGAGTTTTTTTTTTCCCCAATAGTTTGTTAGATATTTATTTATTTTAAGCTAATGTTTTTATTCTCGATTTTAAATTTAATCTAGAATTTAATTGAATGGAAAATCAGTTGAACTGAATACTGAACAATTTAACAAATAATAATATCGAGATAATAATAATGATACATAACTGTACATAATTTAATTTAACATATTTTCGAGCATA